TCTTTAGAAGTATTTTGCTGTTGTTCTGTTTTGTTGAGATGGTCTCTCTATGTAGTTCGGGCTGGCCTTGAACTCACTATGTAGCCCAGGGTAGCCTCAAACTTATAGACCTCCTTGTGCCACCCAGCCCGGCCCATGTGCCTTTTAATTCCCTCTTCCTGCTTCCGCCCTTGACCATTTTTGGCTCTCTACTGCATGCTGCCCTCCTTTTCTGTGCCTGTTGAAACCCTGCTCTGTCCGTAGGTCAGCCCCAGCCTCAGGCTCCCTCCCAGCCCCACACCTCAGCGGACGTGCTGCCCCTACCCTTGAGTTCCAACAAACAAACAACAGCCGACTTCCTGGAGTTCAGCTGGGAGTGACTTATATAGTGTGTCTCCTCCCTACACCCCCACCCCTGTCCCCAGCACCTGGTGTAGTAAGTAGCATTTCATTAATCCCTCTCTTAAAGCTAAAACTGTAAATGTGCCAGGCCAGGGTCATCATGCAGAAGGCAAGCATGGTGCTTAGGAAGATTTCAGAATCACATTCTTTTTGTTCGTATGTTTTTGAGACAGAATCTTACTTTGTAGTTCAGGCTGGCCTTGAACTGACTGTGCAGCACGGCTAATCTCAAGCTTGCTGTGATCTTCCTGTCTCAGCCTCCTGAGTGCTGGCATTACAGGTGTGCACCACCAGGCCCTGCTAGAATCATAAACATTCTTAAAAGACAGACCTCTAGGTTATCTAAATATTTTCAAGTATCTGGATCTTTGGCCTGATCCTCTCATCACATGCAGGTGGCCTCTCTTCAGGGGAGGCTGAGACACCCAGTTTCCCCACTGCAGCAGCCCGCCTGGAGCAGACCCAGCGCCTGAGTCCACAGGGCTTCTGCCATCCCACTAGAAACTGGAAGTTGTGGTGCTGCCCCACTGGCGGAGAAGCAAGGAGAAGAAGATGGTTGGGAGGAGCCTCGAGGTTGCATCTTCTGGAGCTCCCCAAATCCCAGCGTCAAGGTTGCCGCTGGTCAGGAACAAGGCCACGGAGAGCTATGCTGGGGGCTTTGTGTCTCTTAGGGCACGTGTGCAAAGCATACTTCAGAGCACACTAGCAAGTCCCATTTAACAGGAGGATAAAAGGCATTGGCTGCAACCCCTGGCCCTCAGTTTTGGGTTTAAGCCACCTCAGAGGCCCCTGACGGTGTCTGTCGAGGGCCTCAGAGAGACCTCAAGGCCTGGCACATAGAGTCGTGGGAAACCCTTCTGGAGGAGGAAGGGGAAGGTAAGGTAAAAAAGAGAAGAGAGCATAGTTGGTGGCACATGCCTGAAATCTCAGCACTTGAGAGGCTGAGTCAGGAAGATTATCCCAAGTTTGAGGCCAGGCTGGGGTATATAGTGAGTTCAAGGGCAGCCTGAACCACATATCGAGAACCTGTTTAAAAACCACAACCAAAACAAAATAAAGAGAAGAAGAGAAGGGAGGAAGGGGGTAGACAGAGCTCTGGCCTTAGGGCAGCAGACACCGCCCCCTCACGAGGCCGCGGCGGGGGGGGGGGGGCAGAGGCAGTGAACCCTTCTTTCTGCCAGAGCTTTCTCCTCCCAGGGAACTACCACTGTATTTCGATGAAAAATAATGAAAGCACAAAATAAAAATATCATAGCCCCCTACCTCACACCATATACAAAATTACAGAGTCCACCAAAAAAATGTTTACATCAGGAAAAGAAAAGCTTGTATGAATATTTTAATACTAAATTTATTGAGCCATCGTGAGAGTCATACAAGTTACCTTTGGCCTCTATAATTACAAGAGGTGCTCGGGGTGGTGGCCATGGGCTTCCAGACATTTATTTATTAGCGATAAGTGTGTACACATTTTTTTGGCAGACTCTGTATATACTCAAAACATAAATATTAGCGGCAAACTGATAAAATTCCTAGAGGAAGTCATAGTCACAGACCTGTGGGAAGTGGTCTCAAAATGATAGCAAATGCATGAAGAACAACAACAACGAAAGATAGATAAATTGGACTTCAGCAACAGTGTAACTTTTGCTTCATAGAATGCCATTAAGAAAGTGAAAAGACAGCCACAGAGCAGAGGAAAATATTGCAAAGCATTTCTCTAACAAGGATTTAATACCCAGAATACTTAAAGAACTCTTATCTAACACAACAAAAAAAGACAACCCAGCTCAAAAGTGGGCCAAGAGTTCAATAGACATTTCTCCAAAGAAGATACACACCGGGCATGGTGGTGCATGCCTATTTTCTCAGCACTCTGGGAGGCCGAGGCAGGAGGATTGCAAATTCAAGCCCTCCTGGGGCAGTTGAGTGACTTAGCAAGACCTTATCTCAAAATTCTGAAAAACTAATATATAGCTCAGCTCTGAGCTCCTGGATTCAGTCCCCAGTGCAAACATGCATACACATATACATGGAGGAATAAAAAAGAAAGTAACGGGGGCCAGGGATTTAGCTCAGTGATTCGGCTGCCTGCCTCACAAGCGCAAGGACTCGAGTTCGAGCCCGGTACCAAAAAAGGAGAAAGTAACCAGTGTTGGTGAGGATGTAGAGATATCAGACCTGGTACATTCCAGTGGGAGCATAAAATGGGGCAGGTACTGTGGAAAAGTTTGGTAATTCCTCAAAAGCTATAGAATTACTGTCTGTCCTACTGTGACTCATACCTGCTCCAAGGTTTGCGCTCAAAAGAACTGAAAAGAGAGACTCAAAGAGCTACTTGTATGCCTGTGTTCATAGAAGCATTACTCAGAAGTGTCTGTCAGTAGACAGACAACAAAATGGTATGTCTGCTCTCCAATGGAATATTACAGAGCCACAAAAAGGAAGGAATGTGGATATATGCCACAATGTCAGTGAACCCGGAGAAGGTGCTATTCTGAATTAAGCCAGAGCCAAAGAATATTATACAGTTTCACCCATGGGAAATATCTAGAGTAGGCAAATTCATAGAAGGTTGATTAGAGATTACCAGGAATTGGGGGTGAAGAGAATGGAGAATTGTTGGTTAATGGAAGAAGAGTTTCTGTTGAAAGTGATAAAAAATAGGGCTAGGGATGTAGTTCAGTGGTACAGTGCTTGCCTAGTGTGGGTGAGGCCTTAGGGTCAATCCCCAGCCCAGCAAAATTTTGTTGAGGGCAGAGTACTGAGCATTGAACCCAGGGCCTTTGCACTGAGCCACACCACAGCCCATTTTTGCTTTTTGAGGCAGAGTCTCACTAAGCCACTGAGTTGCCCAGGCTGGACTCGAACTTGTGATCCTTCTGCCTCAGCCTCCCAGAGTGCCAGGATTATGGGTGTGCCCAACAAAAACAAAAAAATTTAGAATGGAAAGTTTATATTTTACCGAGCACACTGCTTGGCAGTGAAGAGGAGCCACTGGCCTTTGCTGCAACACGGATGAAGCTTGAAACATTGTCCTGGGTCAAAGGAGCTGGTCGCAGAGAACCACATACTGCATACCTCCATTTCTAAGTCCCACAAAGCACACTACAGACAGAAAAGTACACTGGTGGTACCCTTCTTTTTATTTTGAGGCAGGGTCTCCCTATGTAGTTCAGGCTGAACGTGAATTCAGTGTGTAGCCCAGGCTGGCTTCAAATTCATGGCAGTTCTCCTGCTTCAGCTTCCCGAGGGCTGGGATTACAGGCCTGTGCCGCCACACTCATCTATTAGTTGTACACATTAAATGGCTGAGTTGGATGTTGTGTGAACTTTGTCTCATTAAAGCTGTTATCCCCCCCAAAGACATCGAAAGCTAAAAATAATCTTCCCCAAATTATTTCCTACAAATAACAAGTAAAATAAAGTTCAAGTGGTTAATTTTAAACTTTTTATCATTAAAAAATATTCAAATGTATACCAATGTAAAGGTAATAGTGTAAAGAGACCACATACATGTGTCAGTCAATTCCAAAAAAAATCAACATTTTGAGGTACCTTTAAAAAAATTTCCTCAGTCTTACTACAAAAAATTTCAAACATCAGAAAAGCTGTTACCCATATACTCACCCGCTTTATTTTCCCATGAACATCCTACTCTCCCTGCTTTAACCTATGTCTCTCCATCCATCTCTCCTATCCATCCTTAAATTCATCCTACTGCCTTTTATTTCTTTCAGAGTAAGTGGCAGACAGTAGTACATTTCCTCTTAAATACGCCTGTGTGCATATTATTAACTAGAAGTCCATATTTGTTTACAGTTTTTTGGTTTGCTTTTGAGTTGAAATTTATATACAGTGAAATGCACAATTTAAAGTCTATATTCCATGATTTTTAACAAATGTAAAGGCTTTTATGACCCAAAGCTATTGTTCCAACAGCTTTAAAAA